CCTATGTATTGCATGTAACACACATGGAATTCAATTTCACTTCCTTCTACGATTTTGTTACAAAGAAAAAGTTTTAAGCTCTTAAAACATTTGATGAGGGGCCGGCCCGGTGGCGCACTGGATAGTGCGCCGCTTGGGAAGCGCGGCGGCGCTCCCGTCCGAGGGTTCGGATCCCACATACGGACCGGTTCCCACTCACTGGCTGAGCGGGGCGCGGGAGCAACACCGAAGGTTGCAATCCCGTTGCCGGTCCCCGGTCCGGTATGGGGGCAACACCGAGGGTTGCGATCTGTTGCCGGACACAGAAAAAAAAAAAGACAAAAGACAAAAAACAAACAAACAAAAAAAAACATTCCATGAGAAATGCCCCTCAAGTGCTGAAATGAAGAAAATAGCCCATGGACTTGCCTTGCTAAATAAAATGGACACCATGAAGAAATCCAGCAGGAAACTCTCGGAAATATCCTTGTAGTCAAAGTGGAAAAAGATGACGGTGAAGGTCAGGTTGACGAACTGGTGAACCGGGTTGCAGAAGGAGGTCCGCAGCAGCTTCATGCCGGCGCTGATCATCAGGAAGATGTCCCAGCTGTCAGAAAGCAGAGAAAAGGAGCCATCAAGCAGGGCGTGCGAGCTGCCTGGTGCGTTACAACAGCTAACGTTTCTTGAGCATTGACCGTCCACTATGCACTTTACTGGAGCAGAAGCCAATCTGGTGGGCCCTGTGATTGTCTGCATCTTACAAAGGGGTAAATTGAGTCTGGGAGCATTTGAGGAACTCATCTAAGGCCTCACAGGGGCAGAACCAGGATGGAAACTCGGTCCTCAGCCGCTCTCCAGGGAGCACATGGTCCCTGCCACTAAGGGCATCTCCTCTCCACCAGTGCTCAACACGGTCCCTGGGTTCTCAGCAAGGACACAGAGCTCCTTTTGAATTTGTCTGCGGTAACTCCTGCAGTGATGAGAAAAAGTTCCCCAGCAAGCTTGATGCCGAGCGAGGAAACAGACAACATGCTGCCCACTGGGGTCTGTTCAGCGTTCGCCTTTGCATCGGGAAAGAATCTGATTGACACTGCAACAGACGACAGCTAATATGAACCTCTGCAGACGGGGAAAGCCTGGTGTGTTAATAAAGCCATTTTTATTTTTACATATTTACTTTCAATGTGTTTCAGCATATGTGTCATCCTGGTAAACATAAGCTTTCTGGCCTCCTATTATTTTTTTTTTTGCTTAAAATTATATGACCCCCATTTTTTCACATGGCACAGGCCTTTGCAGTTTAGGAGCTCAGCAAAGCAGAACCAGGCAAAAAAATGCTCTTCCAGGACTTTGCTTTGAGGACTGAACTCCGGAATGCTGGCGTCTAGGGAGCTGGATGCCAGCCCGTGTGGAGAGGGTGTGCTCTGTGTGCGATTCCCCAGACCACAAGGGGGGCCAGGAGCCATCTAGCTGTCCTGAGTTTGGAAGGCAGATGGTAACAGCTCGGTGCTCCCTAACAGAGTAAGCAGCAGCCTCCCTGAGGGGCCTGTCCTTCTGAAGACAGGCCCGTTCTAACCAGAGTCCCCTCCAATTCTAACCGGCTATTTGGGAACTCAAAGACACAGGTGGCGATATCTCTAGAGAACGGCTGCACATGGAAGAGAAGGGTTTTCCTTCTCTAGCTAAGTACAGAAAACTGGGGCTGGGACTCGATTTCCCTAAGTCTGGGAGAACCCTGGACCTTAGACTCTCATCGGTGTCATCATCTTGTCCCGGGACGAGGACATTTAGGAAGTGCTTTCAGAGTCTTTGCACTTGTCAGGTACAAAATTGGCAATTTTGTTATCAAGATCTAATGTTGCCAATTTCATATGCTTCAATCTGCATTTTACATGCTCTCAGGCCTAGGACTGCGAGGGTTTCCACTCTGTCCCGGGACACGGGAGGTGGGGTTTGCCCAAGGCCCTGCGTGGCAGGCATCAAGATCTAATGTTGCCAATTTCATATGCTTCAATCTGCATTTTACATGCTCTCAGGCCTAGGACTGCAAGGGTTTCCACTCTGTCCCGGGACACGGGAGGTGGGGTTTGCCCAAGGCCCTGCGTGGCAGGTCCAGATTTGGCTTCTGAGGAAAACCAGCACTTGACCATATGCAGATTTGGGGAGAGTAGGGAAGTCTCCTGTAGCCTCAACACAGAGCCCTCAGTGTCCCTGCAGCAAGGCTGAACCCCGCTCCATGCCCAGCCTTCCCTTTCCAGGGGACGACCAATGCCCACGAGGAAAATACAGTGTCAAAACGTGACCTAGGGGCCAGTGAGCTTTGACAACAGCCCAGGGTATAAAAATCCCTGAGGGACAGCCAAAGCCCCCTGGAGGGACCCCAATGACCCGGCATCTCAAGACTAGGGATATTTTGGTTTTCAGGGGAGACTGATGACTTTCTGGTTTATTCAGGCAAAATTTAGATGTGGGCCATATCTAACTTTCTGTTTTCTGTGGCCATGACTGAATGGACTATATACATTTTATGTTTATTAATGATGGCTGGTTAAAACTACGGGAGATCTTAAGGACTAATGTCACATTGCAATGGTAATGGCTACCATTAGTGGCCACAGATTGTTGTACACTTAGCTGACGGCTTTGGGAAGGCTTAGCCTGGGACAGATGCACAGCATCCATTAAGATCAGGGTGGGAAATATAAATACCTAACAAGATACCACTATTCACCCTCTGACCTATTTACCATCCCCCTACCCGACCATCCCCCTACCCACCCTTCTAACATTTACGAGGGGGTTGGTATTGAAAGGTGGATAAGAAACAGGGTCTGCTGTTGAAGAGTTCCTTGTCTGACTGTCTAGTACAGAGGGGCTCAAAAAAGACAGGGCGGGCTAGGCTTGCACAGTTTGGGAAAGGTCTCGAAGCGATACTGATGTACGGCCTCCTGCTGTCCTGTTTGAGAACAGCTGGTCTAGCGGGTGCCTGAAGTCTTGAGACATTTACAGAAAAAAATTCTGCAGATGGATGCCTCAGGAACAGAAAGGAATTGTCATTGTTGGGTTCTGGGCAAAGTAATTCCGATGGTATCACCTGGGAGTTGAGACTATTCAGAGGTCTATAGGTAAGACACTCCTTTTTGACTTGAGTATCTGAAAAAAAAATTGCAGGGGACAGACAGTAATATGATGTGCAACTGGACTGTCGGCTCTGCTGGAGTCCCCACCCCTGCATCTGTCTTCTCCAACAGCCTGGCCTCAGCCTGTAGGCTCAGCTCAAGGTCCTTGTCCTAAAATTGGATAGGGAGGACTTTATGTACTTGAGCACTACACCCCAGGGTGGCTCTGGTGCCTTCTTTGCTACTCTGGCTTTGATGGAAGATATGCCCTGTCGGGGGTAGTACTGGGATGGCCAGGGTTGTGCTATACTGGGAATCCCTGCCACGGGTAGAAGTACACGATGTTCCAGGTGGAGAACCACCTGCTGGGTTGGGCCCCATCTAAACTATCTAACGGGTCTGTAGTTCCATTGTCTGCTTTTTTTTTTTTTTTAAATCCAGTGAGACTAATTTTTATCCCTGGATCTGAATTCTTGGATTTTCAGAACCAAAGGGCATAGAATTCTTGCCCTGGCCTAACCGAAACAGGTCTGGACTGGAAGGAAGACAGAGTCCAATAAAAACAGAAAGGTTACAGGATCATGTCATCTAGCGCCTGCTTTGTGTGACTATGCATCTACTCGAGGTCCAACAGAGTATTAAAATGCCTTTTATCTCAGCTTGCTCAGTCTTCAATCTTTGGCAAACAGTAATTAATTTGTCCTCACCACATCCCGACAGGAAGAGCGGGTTTGAATTAGCATGCTTGGGATTACGCATCCGGTGGACCTGGACACATAGCGTTTAAGCACTGTGACTCATAAGCAAGTCTGACCAAGGATTTCTTTTGCATCCTCTTTCTCTAACAATGTATTTAACTGTCAACCTTTACCTTTTGTCACAATGACAAATCCACAAATTATCAAGTAGATTTCCATGTGTAAATTCAGAATCAATTTTAATATATGAAGCCCATGACTCAACCGTACATTGTCACGTTTTGCAAAAGCATGAGCATCCTGATGGTATGAAGTCTCTGTGCTCCAGTTTTTAAATGATGAGGCTTCTCTTGATGAATGCAGACAGAGCAGGGACAGTGATTAACCTCCCCCGCCCCCAGCACAAAATGATAGAGAATTTGCTAAATGAAATGACACAGGGCAGTTGATGAAGCTCTAACGTGGCGATAAGAGCTCCAGCAATCCCGGATTCGCACTGAGCTTCCGGCACCTTACTGAGGCTCACTGACTAAGCCTTTGCAGGGTGACTTACAGATCTACTGACACTTATCACAGCATCACTTCAAGCAGAGTTAACTCCATGTGTACCCAGTCACTTACAGCCACTGCCCAGCTTTAATGGGCTTCAGTAAAAGACCACCCTGGCTTTCTTTTACATGGCCAATAACTAGTAGGTATAAGTCGGCTCCTCCTGCAGCCTGTGCAGAGAAAACACACTAGATTTTGAAAGCACTATGATCCACATCATTATGAGAATAAACCATTGTCCACTTACTGGGTACCGAGTCTCCGGTAATAAGTAGGTATAAGTCGGCTCCTCCTGCAGCCTGTGCAGAGAAAACACACTAGATTTTGAAAGCACTGTGATCCACATCATTATGAGAATAAACCATTGTCCACTTACTGGGTACCGAGTCTCCGGTAATTGCTTATCAGAAAGGCATCAATCGTGAGGGCGTTCAGAATTATTGCTGGGTACAGGATATATTTTTCAAAACACTGAAGCCAAACATAGAGCCTTTCAAACCACATTAAATGGGCGACATCTGAAAGAAAAACAAAAATCACTTAGAACAGCCACGATCAAAGTATTTTTCTTTAAGCACAAGTAATTGTAAGTAATATTCCCTCTCCTTTGATCCAAAAGCTGTTGATTAAAAACTCAGATACGGACTTTTAAGATGGCGATGGGTCTGGAGCGGCCATGCCAGGAGACAGCGCGACCCTGAGAAGTGTGCGCTGTGATACCAGAGTACTATTTGCATTTCCAAGAGCAACAAAAAACGAATAAATCTTTGAACAACGAACCTACAACGACAAACAAGCAACTACAGTCTCGAGGTTTTAGGGCCGACACAAAAGAAGACTCCTGAGAGTGCCCAAGCCCTGCTGCGGGTTCGAGCGAGCAGCCCAAGACAACAAAGGCCAAGTAAGCCAGCAGAGACGACACAGAAAC